GAGTGGCGTAAATGCACTCGAAGGCCTTGCGGGCGAAGGCAGCATCTGGCTTTCTCGGAATTGCGAGGCCGGTGCGATAGCAGATGACGGACTTAAAGCCGACGACCTCTGGATCCGCGATAGCTTCCAAGATGCTGCTGTCAAACGCCTTCAGCGCCTTGTCGAAGACGGCGTTGGAGTCCTCCGCCGTGCGAGTTGTACCTTCGTCGGCTGGAAGGTGCTCGTTGAAGATGTCAGCAGCGATCTTTTCGATCCGCACGATTCTCTTAGCAGGGCTGCGAGTGAGACTGCTGAAGTAGGTATAAGGATAGACAGCATTCTCGCCGTCCAGCCCGTCGTCGACAAGAACGGACTCGATGCCATTTAGACATTCCTCAACCCATGCATCGTAGTCCTCAATGCGCTTAGCTTCAATGGCATTGACCACCGCCTCCCAACTAGGCTCGCAACGGAGCACCTTGGCCAGCTGTTTGACAGCGCGCAGATGCGCGAGACTGGTCAATGAAGCGTGGATTGCGTCTCCATGGGCTTCGGTAGTGATTGACAAAAGAGGGTAGCGGCCAATGGCCTCGAGATCCAGCAGAGGATGGGCGTGGTTGTCAATGATGGGGGTCGTCTGGATGGTGTGGCTGAGGAGAGCCTGGCCAGTCAGCTTTGCGGGATCCATGCTCGCGGAAGAAAGACCACCAGGTCGAGCAGTGATCAGTGTAGTAGAGTTTCCCGACAGTCTTTCTACCGCGTGGACAGATGGACGAGGCTCCCCCTTGGCTACTGGTCCGGCCGGATGGTGGACTTGGTGTTTGATGCTGGGAAAGATGCAAGCTGCGATTCGGAAGGGAGAGGAGGGGTAGCTAATGTGGCAGGGAAATGACGTGAGAGCTCTTATCGGCGCCCTGCATGAGGGGTGATAGACGATGTCTCATAACGGCGTCTTCCGCGGCACCCCTCTCCCTATTTGTCTCGACGGATGTTCTCCGCGGGAGGGGAAATTCGGTCTCCAAATGCCGTTTTCAGGGGACGTCACGACATGGTAACCGGTACAGTTCATCAGTTGAATTAACTTTCAGACCCCGCAGCCAGTGTATGTCAGATATTAGCGTGAGTTCGTTCATATGGAAGCTTGTGCCCGCGGCATATTTGGCCTGGGATCCCAAATCTAGACAAAGACAGCGATTGAGCGCAGGTATCTTCGAGGGAAAGGGCCGATATCAAAGAGGAGGGAAGTAAATGGAATAAGTCGCACTTTTATGCGTAAAAGTCCGATGCAGGATTGCAGGCGGGGGCCGGTTCTCCACTTCGGCAGCGGCGCCGATCGGAGCCTATCGCACGGCGGCCCGCGGCGGGATACTGGTGTGGGATGCCGAGATGATCAACCTAAGGTCTGTCTATCTAGCAAGCAATTCGCGTGTTGATTTCTCATAGCGTGCCTTACAGCATAATCATATTCAATCATTAGTCAAGATTATCAGACGTCTGTGTAGCATTTTTCTCTGAATTCCAGGAGCGCTGTAGCTGATCCGTGCTGGCCTCCGCCTACGGAAACGTGTGAAATCTGCTAGAGGGCACTACCATCTTGTGCCGTTTTATCAGACATCAAATGAACCTGATGAAAGAATGAAATCTTGTTTGGTAGTTGAAAACGACTGATAGGATTCAAAGCCCCTGGGTGATTTCAGAGCCCGGGGAAGAATAATATGAACAAGTTGAGCGCCGGGGTTCAGTGCTCTTCTGTCCAAGAAGGTACAATGGCACATAACTTGCTGGTCAAGGAATTTCGATGAGAGCACCGATCGCAGTCGATGACCCCAGCGCAGGGAAGTGTTCATGGGATGCCAACAAGACATTGTGTAATGCTCTTTCATCTTTAACCATCTACAGCCGGGCCAGATGGGGCCGCCAAGAATGGAAAGATTTTATTGAAGTCTGCAGAGGGTCCCACAGTCTGACCGTCACGGAGCTGAGTCGCCCCCCTCCCTCGTCTACAATCAATCTTTCTTCCGTATAGCGAAGGGCGCCCTGGCCCCTGAACGGGAAGACTGTCGTGTTGTTCCGCTGTCCATTGTTCCGCTGTGTGTTATTCCGATGTCCGTCGTTCCGATGTCCGTCGTTCCGATGCCTATTGCCCCCCTGTATTTTGTCAACATCACCCGCAAGTTTGAACAGTCAATTGATGGACAGAAGTGGCCAGCGCGTCATTTGTTCGGTACGTGGTAGGCGACATGCCTGATGCACAGCTACATCGCGCCCTAAAACAGGGGTTTCTCTTGAGGGTGTCCTCTGCATAACAGTCTATTTCCTCCAATATTGACTAGCAATCCCGCTGCAAATAGTTGTAGCAATACTGATGTCACCTCTTTCAAGGCTACAGAAGCCCACGGATTCTCATTGCATGGTTGAGTAGCCTGTCTGAAATAACGAATCTCCTCGTGGGAGCCCACCCACTCAGTGGCAAAGCGCCATTCCAGCGCTCCTCTTCAGTGAGCTTCGGGCGGCTATCTGGTCCGAGTACCTTTCTGGGAAACTTAATCGTCCCGAGTTCCTTTCGCGGTTGAGAAGTGCTGCAGGGACTCAGCGATCCCTATCGGGACTCGATCTGCCCAGGAGGCATTGAAGATGCAGGGCTTCTCACATTTTGGTGGCACACAGAGGTCAAACCTGCCCTTACCGGCTCCGCGGCCGATTTTATCAAAGACAGCGGCGCAAGCGTTGCCGGGATGCTCGAAAAGCATCCATTGATGAACTCATACTGGCGGGAGAAAGCCGCTCCGATTGATGACATCGAACTTCCCATGCTAGTATGTGGGTCATTCTCGGACCATTGCCTTCACACACAAGGTTCCTTCCGGGCTTTCATTCGGGCTCGATCACGCCACAAATGGATCTACACACATCGCGGAGGCAAATGGGACGTTTTCTACTCGCCCGAAGTTCAACGTCTGACAAAGCAATTTATGGACTGTTTCGTCAAGGGCAAGAGTAACAACGGCTTTCTATCCCATCCACCGCACTTAGATGGTAATTGTTTGTTTATACGACAAGGGGACTTACCTAGATGTTTGTTACCCCCAAGATTATCTATCCGAACACCTATTCGCATTCATTGAAATTCCAACAGGGAAAGATTTGCCTTCGCAATAGTATTCCTATCGAAGGCTAGAGAAACAATGAAAATTAACCTGTTCTTACCGGCGCCCCATAGTCGGAGATATAGGAAGCACATTTGTGCCCCTTGAACTGAAGTGTAGAGTTGAAGACATTTGATGATTGTGGCCCTATGGTGTGGCTGATTGGACGCCAAATCACTGCGCCATGGAGGCCTGAGGTTGTGGTGAAGAGAATTGAGAGGCTCAATTCACGACTGTCACCGAGATCTTTTAGGCACACCTGCGAAGTACTTCTCAATAAGGTCTAGTCAATCAAGATTGACAGTCACATGGGGGTGAAAGTTTGAGGCAGTGAGAGATAACGAGCTGATGACTTCCGTATTCTGTTTAGCATTGGGACCCCTCGAACAGCCTGGTGGCAACTTCGATGTCTGCACGGTGTTACACAGCGGGAGCCTGCATGATTCCCCTCAGCTCTTATCAACGAAAGGTCCCCTGGGTAACCAATGAAGCCTTACCTTACAAAGACCCTCACCCAGAATGTGGCAGCCAAACCTCGTATCTTGAATATTGATTTGGGCAGTGCTAGGCTGACCAGAGGAGGCCGCCACCCGGGCTGGCGCGGGCGAGGCTGGAAAGGATTTCAAATGGTCACGCCCAACCAGTCCATCCCCCATGGTTTGACAAACTATGTAAACTGATGCAATTCGACCTCAGAATTTACGCAGGCAGCTCTGCCAGGCCGGTCACTCCTCCAGCTTCCAATATCAGTCGAAACCCGATCCTAGATACCGCTGCACACGTGTCACATAGACCAACACAAAGCCATGTTTTCACTCGACCAGAACGCAACACGTTACTTCGATGATATTGGGAGTTTCTTGGATAGAAAGATTGTACCAACTAAAGATACTAGCGGTGCTGACAATTGGTACTCTAAGTGCACCCACAAGATTCACGATGAGTGGATCAAAAACAACGCGACAAGTCAAGAGAATATTGCAGAAGGCCTCATCATGGACATACATGGCAACAGGCTATTTCATGTAGAAGATAATAAAAGAATCATCAATGATTCTTGGGGGGTCAGTCTGTCTCTTTGCAGGGACTATTGCAGCCGCGGACACATCAAAATGGTGAGCTTCAACATCTATCCCTGTCTGCCACAGTTACTATGAGACAATCGCCAACGTTATCATACTGAATTATCAGGCCACCAATTTCAATCGTTTCGCTGCCGGATCAACGAGCTATCTTCTTCCATGGCTGGCCCTTACGGCGCAGCTGCCTTACGAGACAGGGGGCATCGACTCTGACATCTTGAGTGTCTGCGTTGGGCTTGGAAGTCCCATGCTAATGACCATCTCACTCATGATCACGATCCTGAATAAGACGTGGATTCATAAGGCATTCAGGAGCCTTCGAAGACGTCATAGAGTGTATTTAGGGGAAGACAGGGGAAACGTGTCAGAAAGAGCAGATGCTGCTGTGGTAATCGCTGAAGTTGCACAACAAACACCCACTCGTCTCAGACAGACAGAACAGTCGCTGGCCAGACAAGTCTTCCTGAACGAACACAAGCGGTGGGGGGAACAAGCTCGATACTACTTAGAGTCTACTCGACGAGGGGTGACGCTATCACTTGTGGCTCAGATGTCTGTAGCAATCATAGCTTGGATTTTCACGGCGGTAGGATCACTGCAAACAAAAGTGGGCAATACTGAGGAAGCCCTGATTCTTTCCTCTGGATCTCTCTGGATCTGGCTGGTATGCAAGCTTTTACTTACCTGTAAGGATAGTTGAGGTCGAAAAAGGCCAGTGCTAATTGCAAAAACAATCTAGGTTCCTGTCATCTGGGGCTGGATCCTTGTGGGCACACAGAACAAAGCAAACACCATGCAAACGGCGCTCGACAATGAGACTGGGCATGGTGGCTATCGACCTGGAATTGAAGTTGCAGGTGATTTCCTGGCTGATCCACCATCGTCATCCGTCAACGCACGGAACTCGGGAAATGGAAATGATGACAGTCGCCGTACACCTCCAGACATCTGGATAATATTCAATGTCGCTGGATTCCAGAAGCAAGAAGGACCAGCCTTCAATTACGCCCGTACGCTGACCTGGATCAACTTCGCCAATAATCTTCTGATCGCATTTGAGGATGCAATTCGTCCGCAAAATATGACTTCAGCTGGTCCACAGCAACCTGCAGGATCTCAAGCTGATTCACAGTCTTCTCCGGCAGGATCCCAAGCTAACCCAACACACATCAACAGCACCATTAGCCCTCGCCGTCATTTGTACGAGTACTCAAATTTGGAGGAGCTCTCTGGGGCAAAGCCTATCTTTTGGAAAAACGTTGCTTTCTCGATACTCATGGGCATCTTGGTCCAGTGGGGTACCACAATGCTTGCATTCATACTGGCCTTCGAGACGGTCGTAAAGGGTCTGGGTTGCAGATCGGGTAGCTACCTCATCTACGGCATACTATCAACTGCAGCATGCGTATCCCTACTTGTCTCTGCGGCACTTTCTCACGTGACCATGCGAGAATATGAGAGGACACGTTTCGTGGAGCGACGAGAGAATGAGCTTGGGTTAGGAGCACACATCTGCAAAGCTTTGGCGGTTGTTTTGCGGCTACTAGGATGCTTCTTGCTTGTGGCTAATACTGTATGGCTTCTGCTGATCTCTATATGGGAGCTTATTGGCTTCTTCGACAGCTGCTACTGTGCGTCGACGGAGCTAAGTAAGAAAGAAGCCGGCTGGATCCTGTTGTTCAAAGGCGCGGATGCGCTGAAGGAAGATGCGCAAGCTGCATGGGGAGTTGGAATTGGTTTGGGATTCGTTCTAATCTTCGTGGCAGGCGCCGTCTTTTATCTTGCCTCTCGACACAAACACGAGTAATGGTACTGATAAATCTAAGCGTAACAGGTTTGCGTGTGGGGTGGAGACCATCTCACTTCCTAGTGTCTACGCCGCTATGTTTCCTATTCACATGATAGATTTTAAGCTTTACTTGGATTAGAACGAGAGCGAGGATGACTATTCAGTAATCACAAGACCAAGTATTATAGTAATAACGATATGAGCGTTTAGAGATAGCAAAAATGGCAGCGATAACAGCGTTGAAGGTAATAGCGAGTATGCGAGAGAACTTGTCTTTTTAGCACAGAGATAATAAGTGGTCTCGTAGGAAAACCCAAGTCTAAGTAGGTTCGTCCGAGTAGTACACTGACCCCGCAGCAAATCTACAACAGAATGTGGCATTCATTATTTGACGGGCAATGTTGCAATACACCTCATAGCTGATAATTCAGGTCACGACTGCGTATCGCTTCACTCTCTGGAGTTAGGGCAACGCTATACGTCCAATCCCCGTCTCGCTGGTTGACGCGCAGCTGTGCGGGCGCTCGAGAACAGTGTCACTCCGAGCCTTCGACGAATCACCCTTGGAGAATAGAAGGAGACGCCCGCAAAGACCCCTATTCTGGGGACATGCTACGAGCGGACTGCTGAGTTTGATCCACGACAGCAAGATGCCTACTGTTCATTGGTCCAGCATGATGGGTGGCCATTCATGTAGTGCCTCATTGCGCCCGCTGAACTGCATCTTGAAACATGAGATTAGGGAATGCTCCTATGTGACTGCTAAGAGAACGGCGGTTTATATATATTCAGGAAGACAGCCATAAGTGATTGATGTCTTCAACATCCTTTGCTGCCAGAGTAAAAGTCTTTTGAATCAAACGCCCTACGCAAAGACGCACCACTGAAGATACTGACAATGTTTTCAGATGTCTGTTAATCTTACCCTATCTATCTAAATCTACTTACTGATAACTCACTAGAGAAAGGATATGCGGCCGTTTGGTCTGTTGCTGCTGAAGACTGCTTACATGTGTACGATGTAAGACCGGTGAAGTCTTGTCCTCAGCGAGAAAATACTACCAGACTCCGTGACGAAATCGAAAATAAGACGCATAATTAGCAAAGACAATGGTCCGTTTGAACGTTGAGGGGATTCCTTCTCAACACAAAGAAGAATCTTGATCTTATCACGGCGATTGACTACACGGAGCGGTTTTCACCGATTTCGGAGAGAGTCCGACGCCACGGGACTTGGAAAATTGGTCAATCCAACTGCCAGATTCGGAAATGTCATTTCTGTCTGTACGTTGGTCGTTCTCTTGCATTGAAAAAGCATGCGAGCTGTCGAGCCCAAAGATCAACCCCACGCCGACGTCACGGCAGACCGTCGGGCATGGGAGTCGAAGTTGGCCGAAAACCCCGCACAACCACTGACAAGGGCTTCGATAGGCGAAGCTTGTTTCCAGATCCAGCTCTCAAGCCAGCATGGCTAGCAGTTGAACTGCATGTTCGGCAGCGAGAGCCTGGCTGTTTACCTATCAGCACGTATGCGAGCTTATCATGATCCATACCCCGGGATCCGGCCGGGAAGTGGGAAGTGGGGCTGGGTTGGCGGTCGCCCCCGAATCTACGGCACTTCATTATTATTTGAATTTCTTCATTGAAGTTCATCTGGCAAGTCCTGATTCAATTGTTTGAACCGCTAGATTGGATTAGACTTATTAACAAGTGGAACTCAGATAGTCACCACAACGTTTAATTCGCCTTCCTCCCCCGCGCGAATTTTGGCGCACATGGTCCAGCGCGCATCTGGCATGCCTGGTTTGCCGGTTGGCTAGGTAGTCCGAGATAAGAACGGAAGATAAGCTGACTGCGACGTCAACTTAGTCTCTTCGGCATTACGTATGCTTCATCTCAAGGATAACCTTACCTATCGTTCAAGAGGCGTTCCAACGGCTTCGGCCGTCATGGGATCGATGGCCGCTGCCAACCACGTGGGGTTGAACCGAAGAAACCAGTCAGGAATTGCATGCGCAAGTCACAGCAATCACTGGCAATTCCCTACGAGACCGCTCCAGATTCCTATGCTAGAGCACTTAATTTTCTTGTAGGCCTATACTCTATAACTAGGTAGTCTTAACGCTGTTATCGTCATTTTCGTCATTATTATCGTTGGCCGTCGTCGTCATTCGTCGTCATTATTTCTTCCATTTTCTTTCATCCCTTCTACGATTTATCATCCTCCCCGCAACAGGCATATTCTGATGACCCCACATGCCCAGCCTCTCCGCATGGCCGGCAATGCTGGAGCCGTCCATCCACCCGATGAGCAAGGACCGGCCCTGGGAGAGAACCCGCAGGACTGGGCCCCAAGATAACGAATCGATAATCCGTTTCTTCACGGCTTGCGAGAAGAATCCAGTCGATTGGTCGAATGTTTCTTCTCGGACCTACTATCCAAGTTTGGCCTTGGTCTTATCAATCGATGCTCCGCAACAACGCACCCAGTTGATCTCGACAGCCGTGCTGGTGGCAGGCAAACCAACGGCCAAGATTCGCTAGACACTCGTCTTTAGCAGCACATCATCATCTTACTGCTGGAATTTGGGATGAACTGCGACCGAAAGTCCCGCTGGCCGCGGCCCGCGATATCAGCATCCCCCGGCTTGTCTACCACGGGACGGAACTGAATTCAGCAACTCTGTGCGATCATCCCGCTTGTGGGTGGGGTACATCACAAAGGTTCCTGCATGATAGCAAGCCCGGTCACAAAGCTCGCATCTCAATGTCTGTCGGAACGGCGTTGTCTTGAACCGAGTTCTGCAGACGAGGCTCCCGCTGGTTGGCGGCTCGGTCTACCATTCAAGGTTAGTCAAGAGGATGTTGGCTGTGACATGAAACCCGCTGTCACTCGATGGTCTAATGGAGGTATTCTAGATTGTCGTTGATACGACTCCATCACCGGTGTCGGGGTTGGGCAATATTGCGACATCATCGCCGGATGTCTTGCCGACAGACTCCAAAGACTCTTCCGTACATAAAGGCCAACATCAGTCTGATGAAAATGCTCGGTTGCTCAGAGCTTCAAGCGCCTCTTTGAGTCTTCTATTCTGCCTGACAAGACAACTGCACTTCAGAGAAGATGGGGTTCTCTTCGCTCACCCGCACCTTCGGTCTGGGAGCCTTGCTCCTACTCGGCTCTAATATCATCCCTAAAGTGAATGGCCTCCCTAAGGCCTCATGGGCTCAGCAGCGCGCCAAAGGTCATGGCCGCAAGGCCCTTGCCCATGCTATGAGCAAACGCCAGCTCAGCAACAGCTCCGAGCCTGCGGACTGCGTTGTTCACGACCCCAATGACGTTGACGCCCCGAAGGAGAACATCTGGAGCGGCTTGACCGGCCCCGAGGCCGCCGGCGTCACAGAATGGCTGTTCGCTCAAACGGAGCTGAACCTCACACAGAGCGAGAACGCTACCTCATGGGATAACACCATGTAAGTGAACCAGATTCCAGCTGTCCGGGACGTAGACTAACATCAGTAGTGTTCTTGTGGAGCTCATGGCCCCCAACAAGTCCGAAGCACTGGCATACATTGACGGCAGTGCTGCGGCCCCCGCCCGCTATGCCCACGTCTTGATCGACTTCAGCGCTTCCGAAGACCCGGAGTACCAGGACATCATCGTCGGCCCTCTTCCTGTCACTAACGGCACAACCAAGTGGGAGCGTCTCGACTATCCGTACACCCGCAAGACCAGTGGCCGCGTCCGCAACCTTGATTCCGATGATGATCTGGCCCAAGATTGGCTCTACGACGTCAGCAAGACTGTCGCGGACATCACCCTGGATCTGTGGAACGCTACTGCTCTCGGCCTCGACAACGACACCCTCACCATCTGGGGTATTGACCCTTACTACCAGGACGATGGTCGTGTCCAGCGCTGGGACACGTTCTGGAGCATCCCCAACACAATCTTCGACGTCGAGTCCATGATGCCCATGGGTCTGTTCTTCATGTCAGACGTCACCGGCCGCGACCCTTCGCAATGGACTGTCGAGGGATGGTACTACAACGGCATCTTCTACGAGACCACTGAGGAGTTCCGCAATGCTTACTGGAGCGGAAAGGTCGAGAAGCTTGGCGGCAACTGGGCTGGAGACTGGTCTGCGACCGACCAGCAGGGCGAGATCCTCCCTCTTGACACCAACGCTCCGCCCACCTCAGTCGCCCCCCAAGGTGCCAGATACTCCGTGGACCCCGACAGGAAGTACGTCGAATGGATGGGCTGGAGCTTTTACGTCGGCTTCACGCGCGATACCGGCATGGCCCTCTATGACATCCGCTACAAGGGCCAGAGAATTCTGTACGAGCTTGGCCTTCAGGAGGCCTTGGCTCACTACGCCGGCAGCGACCCTACCCAGTCTCACGTTGCCTACCTCGACACGTACTACGGATTCGGCCCCTTCGCCTTCGAGCTTCTCAAGGGATACGACTGCCCGTCATACGCCACCTACCTGAACTCCTCCTTCTACGTCTCCGAGACAACCCACACCCACCTGAACAGCATTTGCCTCTTCGAGTACGACGCCGACTACCCGATGGCTCGCCACAGTTCGCAGGAGTACGTCACCGCCACCAAGAACGTCTACTTCACCGTTCGCTCCGTGTCCACTGTCGGAAACTACGACTACATGTTCAGCTACTCCTTCTTCCTCGACGGGTCTGTCGCCGTCGAGGTCCGCGCCTCCGGCTACATCCAGGCTGCCTTCTACGCCAAGAACGAGGGCTACGGCTTCAAGATCCACGACAACCTGTCCGGCTCTATGCACGACCACGTCCTTAACTTCAAGGCCGACTTCGACATCTTTGGCACGGAGAACAGCGTCCAGCGCATGCACCAGGTGCCCACCACTCAGGTCTACCCGTGGTCCAAGGGCAAGGCCCTCAACACCATGAAGATCGAGCGCGAGTTCATCGAGAACGAGGACCAGGGCCGCTTCGACTGGAGCTACAATAACCAGGACCAGCTCTTCGTCCTC